GGCAAAAAAAGTTAAAGGAGTTCATCAACAAAAACCTAGTGTTACAAAAAATATTAAAGAGGCTTCTTTAAGAAGAAAAAAAAGATAAAAAATGACTAATCAAATGACAATATCTACATACCTATCAATAATTACTTTAAATGTAAATGGATTGAATGTTCCAATCAAAAGACATAGGATGGCTGAATGGATAGGAAAACAAGATCCCTAAATATGCTGCCTACAAGAGACCCACTTCTGATCGAAAGACACACAAAGACTGAAAGTAAAGGATGACAAAAGATATTTCATTAATGAAAACAAAACAAAACAAAAAGCTGGGGTAGCAATACTTAACCAGACAAAACAGATTTTAAAACAAAGTCTATAACAAGAGACAAAGAAGGACCCAATAATCCCACTTCTGGGTATTTATCCAAAACCTTACTTCAAAGGGACATGTGAATCCATATGTTCATTGCAGTATTATTCACAATAGCCAAGATATAGAAGCAACCTAAGTGTTCATAGACAGATGAATGGATAAAGAAAAGATGGTATATATATATAATGGAATATCACTCAGCAATAAGAAATAAGGAAATCTTGCCATCTGCAACAACATGGATGGACCTAGAGGGTATTATGCTAAGTGAAACAAGTCAGAGAAAGACAAATATATGGTTCCACTCATGTGGAATCTAAAAACAAAATATACAAATAAACAAAACAAAAGCAAAATTATAAATACAGAGGACATTTTGATGGCTCCTAAATGGGAGAGACATTGGAGGAATGGGTGAAAAAGAGTCTAAGACGTGCAAATCGCAAGCTATCAAAACATTCACAGGGATATACAGTACAGATTAAGGAATATGGTCAATATAATAACTATGTATGGTGTCAGAGGGGTACTAGATTTATTGGGGTGACACTTCACAGGTTATATAAATGTTTAATCACGTTATATACATGAAACATAATATTGCACATAACTGTAATTGAAAAAAAATTTTAAGTTATTAAAAAAACAAAACGACAATAGAAAACCAATGATGAGGCTCATTTTGTTGGGACTATAGGGAAAACACACATGTATTGTTTGTGCCCCTTGTCAAGGGCAACTCAGCGCCATGTAATAAAATGTTTTAAAAATGCAGGTGCTCTGCCCTAGCAATTCCAATTCTAGATTTTCTCTTAAGGGAATAACTCAATGTATATGGAATAATATATGTGAAGAAATGTTCTTCACAAAATTATTTATAAAGTGAAAATTGGAAAACCTTTGTCCAAAAATAGGGGGTTATTTGAATTGTTGTAACTCATTTCACATTAAACAGATAATTATATCACCTTTTTACCAATTGGCATGGAAAGCTGTCCAAATATAATCTTAAATAGAAAAAAAGGATACAAAATACTATATATAGTATGATATATTTTTGTAAATATATAGATGTAGTCATTACAATCTGAAGGATATATAACTAAGTATTAACAAAGGTTATCTCTGGGTAGTATATTTAGTGGTGCTTGTTGATAATCTGTATTTTCTAATTTTTCTGCAATTAATATATACCATTTATGTAATAAAAGAAATATTTAATTTTAAAACATATATATTAAGCTTAAAACATCACCACTATTGAGACAAACTAGCATAGTGCGCTCTGAAATGATACACTGAGCACAAAGCGCTGCTTATGTAGTACTTATGCCCCAAAAGTCTAATCCAAATTTAATTACATGGAAACAAATACAACTTTAGAGACATTCTGCAAAACATATGCCATGGACCCTTCAGGCCCATCAGTGTCATGAAAGGAAAAAGAAACTGCCCTAGCTTAAAGGCCAGTAGAGAAATATTACAATGAAATACAACTCATGATCCTTGATTATGCCCAGCAAAGTGGATGAAAATAAACCCACAGCAAAATACATCTTTATGAAATTTATTGGAGACAAAAAGAAGAATCAATAAGCTTCTGGAACAACAAAAAAAGAATGATCACATCCAAACAAATCAGGAATCAGAATGGCTTTAGGCCTCTTAATACAAAAACACTTAGAAGCCAGAAGGCAATGGAGCAATGCCATCAAAATTCAGAAGGAAAATGTTTCCAATATAGAAGTCTAAACACAGCAAATCATCAGTTAAGTATGAGGATAAAATAAGAAATTTTCAGACATGCATGGTCCTCAAATTTTCCCTTTCTTAAGAAGCCCACTGAAGGATGCTTTCTACAGAAGCAGAGAAATAAACCAAGAAAGAAAAAATCTCTAGGATGATGGTAAAGGGAGATGCCTGGACGAGAGCTGGCCTAGAGGGCAATCTGTCCAGATTGAATTCATTTGACTCAAGTAACAGGCACAGTGAGGGTTCTCACTGCTATGTACAGCCTTCATACAATCATTTTAACCTTCTGATTTATTGGATGATGTGTACTACCAAAAGGGAAGAAGCCAAGAAGAAAAGACCAGAGATCTAAAAAACAGGAACTCCAATCCAAGAGAAAAGCAGAGGGTTTCAAAAATGATAACAAATGGACGTTCCAGGACAATAGCTATGCAGCAACCCAAACAGGAGGGAAATGGAGAGAAACCAGCTCAAACAGGAGGAAAAGTAAGGTGTCTGGTAAGATTTCCAAGAAAAAAAAAATGCAATTTCTATATTATGTTGAGAAACTGACTTCGTGGAAACTGTTTTGAGTATAAAGGTATAGGGAGAATTAGCTGTGGTAACAATGAAAATTAAAGGCAATTAACTTCAAGAAAAAGAAAATAATGGTTTTCATAATATACTACAACATTCAGCTGAGAATATTTTCATTTCATAATAATGTAAACACTGAATATAGATCTAACCCAAAATTACAATTTACTGTAATAATAGTATGAGAAAGGAGAAACAGTGGGAACAGAGGTGTGAGAGCTAAATCTATAAACTTATATAGTAAGAAGTTATTATAAACTGGTTCCCTCTAGAAGAGAAGAGTCAGGATGCATGGACAGGGAACGTTTTATGTTGTTGTCATCCCTCCAGTCTATTTGACTTTCAAAACTACATGCATGTATTATTTTGATAAGAATTACTTTTTAAATTAATGTTTTATCAGGTCTTAGTAAAGCTAGGTTCTATAAAATATAATTTTGCTAGTAGAGTCTTATTTTGTTAAATGAGAGCATTTCAATAAATTTGAGACAAATTACAGAATTGTCTTGAGAAATGTTAAACTGATATTGGCTAGAAGCACTGAATTATGGGTATTGCTCAGAGAGAGCTCCCTGGAAGAAGTGGACCATAAACTGGGATGATGTATGTTACACAGAAAAAGGCCCTGGGCAAAATCCTCTGCAAGGAGATTGTGAAAATTAAATCAAGAGTTTGACTTCCCAAGGCTATCACTCTACTTCTTTCTTAAATGTTCCACCAAGAATGGCTATTCCAACATGTCCCCAGCACTTCCTTGGGCTCTTCTGAATGATACTGGCATGGGTATGAAGCACATTTTTTTCTTAGGTGATGGATTTATAGTCAAGGAAGGAACATTTGCTTAAAATTATCTGAAATGCATCACATATCCGTTAATTCATTAACTCAAAACATATTTGCTGACACCTACCATGTGTGAGACCCAGTGCTAGGAACTAGAGAAATGATGATGAAAATGACAAAGATCTCTGGATGAAGGCCAACAGCTGGAGAACTGGGATTCCTCCAGCAACTGGCAGCACTCTCATCTGCACCCACCAAACCCTACTATCCCATGCAGCTTAAAGTGCCGAATGTTTTCTCAGCCTGGGAATGTGAACCCCAATAGACGCCCCGACCAAGAAGTGCAGGAACTCAGGGTAACTAATATGGAAGGTGCATAAAAGACAAATTGATGCTTCTAACAGGAAAACAAAAAATGTGTTCATGAGGAGGCAGGGCTAAAATAAAAGAGGCAGTATTTAATCTAAACCATTTCATGTGACTTGGATTTCTTTTTTAAAAATTGGCCGCCTTATCATTTCTTAGTCACCTTTTCTCTGGGCTTATTGGAGGCGTAGTCCTTCCTAGCAACCTCCCATCTGCTGGAAAATATAATCAAGAGAATGAGAAGCCATGGTGACACATCATCACTAGATGAAAATATTAGGGGAAAAGGAATAAATGTACTATCCCTTTGCATAAAACCTATTAATGCCCTCTTTAGACTAATGAAATGAATTTTACATTGTGGAGAAGGCAGCTGTGATCCGCTGCTTCTAATAATGAGGAGTATTTGAAACTATCCTCTATTGCTACTATTAACTGCCAAGCAACATCACTGTCTTTAGTCTAAGTGAATGCTCTCATCGTTGGCCAATAGAAGACATGTCTTTATCAAAGATTCATCTACTGGACTCCTCTTTGCTCAAAATGCTGTTAAGTTTTCATGTGTTCCTGTTTTTCTCCTGCTAGTGCAGATCCATGGCATTTCAAACTTTTTTTTTTTTTTTTTTAAATCAAAACTAGTATCTTTTTTTGCCTAGTGGCAATCATGAAACCATTTTGAGGTGTACAATCTCTTTCAGCAGCTTCATCTTTTGTGTGTCAGTCCTGGGTGAACATGAGCCTTTACAATGGGTTAGGCAAAATGATCTTGTAATCAGATGTGACCTAACGGTAAATAGCGAACAGAAGAGGTTCCAAAGCCCAGCAGTCCGCGGCTTCTGCGAGGGCAGTGTGGGTGCGCAAGGAGATTGGAAGGGGAGACAGGATTGGGAGGGGAGACTCGGAGAAGGTGGAGAATAGGAATCATGTGTGTTCCTTGAGTGTACAACCCACATTTGAGTGACAAATGACGAGGACAGCCTATTAAAAAACAACAACAACTAAGAGCAAATGCACCCAAATCCATTTCTGTGCATGTGCGTTTTCAACTAACTTTGGGAACTCGTTGACCTGGCATCTCGCCCTGCGCAGCCTCGCTTCCACCTTGGTTTCCAGCACTCAGCCTGCCCTCTTCGGTACCTCCTCTTCCTCCAGGCTAAGGATGGAGAATCCATTCAGCCCCTCAACCCTGTCGCCCGCGCCCAACCTCTCCATACCCATCTCGCTGGGGTGGGGTCTCAACCTGACTTCCGGACAGGGAGCCCCAGCCCCGGGGCCACCGCTGCCGCCGCCACTGCCGTACGGCCCTCCCAGCCGCCTGGTCGTCCTGGGAGTCATCCTGGTGGTGGCTGTGGCCGGTAACGCCATGGTGCTGTGCCGCCTGTGCGGCGGCGGCGGACCCTGGGCGGGTCCCAAGCGTCGCAAGATGGACTTCCTGCTGGTGCAACTGGCCCTGGCCGACCTGTACGCAAGCGGCGGCACTGCGCTGTCACAGCTGGCCTGGAAACTAATAGTCGAGCCGCGTCGGGCCGCGGGCGACCAGGCATGCCGCTTTGTGCAGCTCCTGCAGGTATCCGGCCGGGGTGCCTCGGCCCACCTCGTGGTGCTCATTGCCCTAGAGCGCCAGCGCGCGGTGCGCTGTCCGCAGGGCCCGCTGCTGCCCGCGCGCGCACTCGCCACCCTGGGCTGGCTGCTGGCGCTGCTGCTGGCGTTACCCCCCGCCTTCGTGGTGCGCGGCGGTTCCCCCTCGACGCCACACACCGCCCCCCCAGCCACCCACGCCTGGCCAGGAGAGCGTCGCTGCCGGGGCATCTTCGCGCCCCTGCCGCGCTGGCACCTGCAGGTCTATGCGCTCTTTGAAGCCGCCACGGGATTCGCGGCACCAGTCACGGTCCTGGGCGTCGCTTGCAGCCGCCTGCTCTGTTCCTGGTGGCAGCGTTCGTCCCATGCCCCATCGGTTGCGGTGCCCAGGTCGGCGAGTCCCTGCCGAGGCCCTGCGCACAGCGCGCTGCCCCGCGCTAAAGTACAGAGCCTGAAGATGAGTCTGGCGCTGGCGCTACTGTTCGTGGGCTTCCAGCTGCCCTACTTTGCTTCCCGGCTGGCAGCCGCGTGGTCGTCCGGACCGGTGGGAGACTGGGAGGCTGAGGACCTGGCGGTGGCGCTGCGCCTCGTGGGGGTGACCAACAGTGCTCTCAATCCCTTCGTCTACCTCTTCTTCCAGGCCGGCGGCTGCCAGCTCCGGGGGCGGCTGCGGAAGCTCCTAGGCGCTCTCTGCTGCGCGCGGGAGGGAGTTGCGGAGGACGAGGGAGCCCAGGGTCACCGGGCGCTCCACCGCCACCGCTGGCCGCGACCCCATTATCACCACGCTCGGCGGGAGCAGCCAGAAGAGGGCTATCTACGCCCACCCCCGCCGCGCCCTCGGTCGCTGCCCTGCTCCTGCGAAAGCGCCTTCTAGGTGCTCCAAGGACAGAGGTCATTTGCCCCGTGGAAGAGCCTCCAGGGACCAGCAAGGTCTGTCTGGATCACAACGGACAGCAAGGTCTCTGAGAGAGTGATACTGAAGCTAGCACCTTTCTCCACTCTCCTGTTATATTTCTTTCTAATGTTTACATTCTTGCAATTTCTTTTCTCTCTCCCAGTTCCTCTCACATTTTCCCACTTGGAGACAGAATGAGCCATTGGGAAATTGTAAAAACAGTCAAAGTTACAGAATTATTTTTGCAGTTCTTTTTCATGCTCCCATAGTATTCTGGATAAGATCATTTGTTTTAGCTAAATTGCCAAGCTTTCATTATTTGCTTTGTTGTCATGTTTGTACTTATATTGAATCGTTTTAAAATCCAGTGTACTTTCCAGACCAGAGAATTTTCTTTTTCTCCAAGAAGAAAATACCCACGTTGTTCTCCCTGATGAGCCTGGAAATTGTACCAGTGATACTGTCAGAAATGTAATTGTGCTGTCACTATACAGCCACAGAGTAATTGTAAAATAAAAATATTTCCCACGGCGCAATTAGGGCTGTTTATTATATAGTAATGTGTTTTCTCTAACGAAAATCAGTGCGGCCTTTATTTTCAGTCTAGCTTCCATTTCAATAGAAGCTGGGGTTGTAGGAGGGAGACAAAAAAGCTTCTTTTAGTCCCTTTCGAATATGCCCAGTTTCTGTAGGAAATTGTCCCAGTGCCCAGATCAGCCTCTACAGATGAAATGCTGCGCACAGGTGGAGCCTCTCAGCACAAAGTCCCCAGAAAACTAGAAAAGAGAAGCACCAAGGTGCTGCATATTGGCGGGGCTCATTGTCACAGATGGAGGAGCCTCATGGAGATTTGCAGCTAGGAAAGCAGCTACCACCTCAGAATGCTGTATGTACATATAAAACTCCCTTTTAAAAAATGAAGGCAATGTCTGTTGGTGCCCATTGCTGAGAACAAGGTCAAGGAGAAGATTTAATTGGTAACCTCCTCCTATTAATTGTCCTTGGTTCTAAGATAAGTGGCAGCACTTACAAACAATATATCCATATGTTTACCAGTGTCTTTCAGCTGAGAATCTGCAATCTCTCCATTATAGTGTTTCCTGTTCCTGCACAAATGCAGGACTAAAATGCGGAAAGGGAAAATGATTGGTAGAGTTCACTTGTAAAGCCAATGCTCTCTGAGGGCTTTCTTTGTTTGTTCACTGATATATTCCAAGTTTTTAAACAATACTTGATACATATTTGTTGTATAATTTATCACATGAGTCAGGCACAGACAAAATGGATAAAAGATTTACAAAAGGAAATCTTCATTAGGTTAGCTCACCTTCCTCCAAAATTCTGTCAAAAAATGGTACAAAGTTATAGATTTTCCTTCCTCTTTATTCCTCCCTATCCTGCTGAGGATGCTATGGTGTGCGACATACCAAGAATAAATCACCTAAAGAGAAAAGAACACGGCTGTCTTCGTGAACTCAAGTCTGGGTTATAGCATTATTTTTATTGGTTAATAAACATTTATTACTGGCTTTTTTTGTGCCTAGCAATGTGCTAGGTATTGGAGATGCTAACATGGGTAAGACACATCTTTCCTTCAAAGACAATGAGATAATTATAGCACAGTGTCATATATGCTTTAATAGCGGTTCTAGTCAGGGTACTGAGGCACTGAGGAAGAACATCTGACAACCTTGGGGGACTGAGGGAGGGTGGGAGAGAATTAGGAAAGGTTCACCAAAAGAGGCTGAGTCTTGATGGCTGAGTTGGCATCATCAGATAGGGAAGCATGTTCTAGGAAATGGGAGTAGCACTTGTAGAGCATAGAAGAAAGAGAACCTGGTAAGGCCAAGGAATGAAAATAATTTAAATGTCTATTATTAGGGTATCTGTGAGGTCTGACCTGATGAGGTATGTGGCCATAGAGATACAGCCGGGACCCAGTCAAGAAAGGCCTACATGCCATGCCAAGAAAGTAAAAAGTAGCCTTTGACATATAAAGTCAGAGTTGTAATATGATCAGATTTGAATTTTGGAAAAATTCATTCCAATGATCATTCCAATGATGGTATGGAGAATCAACTAATTGGGGTGGGTTGGGTTGATGCCTAGCTACAGGGATCAAGGCAGAAGCCCCGAGAGACCTCAAAATATGACCTGTAGTGTTGTATCACTTACAATGCATGCTCTCAACTGAGATAATAAATTTAAGCCAGTTGAGCTTGATTTTCTGTTATCTGCAGTTAAGAGAACCCTAATAGAAAAATTGATTTAGCTGGCTTAAATTTATTATCTCACATAACAAGAAGCCCAGTGGTAAGACTGTTCTACATCTGATGAATTGAGTAGCTTCATAACTTCATAATCAAGGACCTAGATCCTTTTCATCTTTCTTTTCTGAGCTGGTGCACATAACATTAAGCTCAGTTCCTCTTGAGATCACAGAATGGCTGTTGCAGTTCCAGGTCTCACATCCAAACATAACAATGTTCAGAAGACTTTCTCACTCTCTCTCTCTCTTTTTTTTTTTTTTCATTCCTTATAAGAATGAAGAAACATTTCTTAGAAGTCTCAAGTGGACTTTCCCACATGGCTCAGCCAGAACTATACCATATGTTCATACCTAGACCTATCATCACAATGGAAATGGGGCCGCCATGATTGCCTTGAACCTAGAGCTGAAGATAAGAGCTACATAGGGAAGGGGTGAAAAAAATGAGACTTTCAGGTTTTCTTTTAGGAGAGAAAGAAGAGGAAATGTTTGTTGGGGGGGCAAGACTAAACTATTATACAAGAACAAAATTAATAAAGAGACTAATTTTTAATTTTTACCATTAGAGGTTTTCAGCTGATTCCCAGCTAGAAATTATGAGAAATCTCCATCTGGGTCAAAAATACAGAATGCAAATTTAAGTAGTTAATTTGAAATGCAATTAAACTGCATTTTCTATAACTAAGGAACTTTCTCTGATTTTAACTAAATCTGAAACTTAAAGGTAGCTCTAGATGACTTAGTTCCTATCGCAGCCGTATTTGTAAGTTAAGAAATTTGAAACATCCCTTCAGAATGGTCGGTATTGATCCCAGGAATCTACATTGCTATAGAAAACTGAGAGATTCAGTTCTGTTCCCATAAAAAAGGCCCCCAAAGATTATTTCAAATTTAAACTCTTGCTAGAGTAGGATAAAACATTCAAATTTCACAGCAAAGGTGAATGAGCAGTTGACCTTGAACTTGACCTCTTTTCTAGGTATCACCCAAATAAGATATCACTAGAGGAAAAAACAGACTATATACTTAGAATTTTTGAGGATTCTAATAACATCTACACACACACTGCACGTTCCCCTTGGAGTTAGATTTTGACCAAACAATTGCACACAGGCCTGGACTGCAGGAATCTGGCAGTGGCAGGGTGGCGGAGTGGGCATTACAGTTCATACAGACAACAATGTAAATATCACCACCAGAATAGAGCAATATAGTAGTCCTGATTTTCATTAGAATTTTAAAGACTAAATAGAAGGAATTTTGTATATTCAAAAAGGAACTAGCCACACAGCAACAAACAGCTAAAATAAGTTAACATGACCTATTATATAATCTGAAGCAGAAAGTACGTAGAAAATAGCAGGAGTGTAACTAAACCACAACTAGTGAATAGCAATAAATCATTTACTAAATGTAGAATAGTTTAGCTCATTTGTGGAAGAGGAGATAGATTAAAAGATTTTTTTTCCAAGCCATTTCCTAGGAAGCATGAAAGACAGTAGAAAATTTGAAGTTTCCTTTCCATTCCTAAAATGTTCTGACTTGATCAGAGGAGAAAATATTATAAAAATGAATAGTCTAATTAAACAGATGTTTTGCCAAGTTGGGAGGCAGTGTAATATAGTGAAAAGAGCAGAGTCTTTAGAGCTAAAGACCTGGACTTGAATTTCATCCCTACAACTTAGTTGCTGTGTGACTTTAGGCTGTGCGCTGAATCTTTTTGAGTCTTGGTTTTCTCATCGACAAAATGAATTTTATGCTATCTACTTCATAGGATTAATGTATGCAAAACACTTGATTGGTAGGGGCAAGAAAGTCCTGTCAGTCTATCTTTTCAGATTCGTCCTAGTACCCAATATATGAGTTATTTCCTAACATTGGGCTGTGAGGGATACAATCCAGTTGGATAGGATTACATGAAGGGAAGCAAAAGATCTTGGGGAATCTATGAGAGATTAATGCAAAAGTGTTAGTACTTAGTCATAGAAAAGTTGGGCCTTACAGAAGGCATAGTGCCCATAATATTGTTAATTGCCTTCCTAGCACCTATTTCCCCTTTTCTAACAGTTCTCAGATTCTTATCAGTTATCTATGCCTCTTATGAATTGTCAAGTGCTTTGAGGGAAGCTGACTCTTCCCTGACCCTAAGACATCAAAGTAATTCTTCTCTTTTACCATCATGTTTTGCTGAAGAATGGTCATGTTATTCAGTTAAATCCAGTGAGATGTGTGTGGGGTGGTTGTTGGAAGGAAGCCCTTAACAATTCTGAGAGAGTCATAGGAGCCAGCATGCTTTTTCCATCTCTCTCCCACTGAAGGTAAATGAGGGAGCATGTAGTGCTGCTGGCTGCTGGCAGTCCACCTCTGACCATGAGGGGCACCATCCATAAAATGAAGCCAACTCTGTGGATATGGCAGAGAGATGAGAAGAACTAGGTCCTTAATGACCTCACTGAGCTGTCGTCAAACACCACTGAGGCATGCCTATCGGATGTCCTGTTGAACAAGCCAATACATTTTCTTATTGCTTAGCGCAATTAAGCTGGATTTTGTTATTTGTAGCAGCAAGCAGCCTGTAATTGAAAAAATTTGGCAAGAAAAAGAGAGTCTCATTTTAGTTTACTGCATGTTCTTTATCAAAGAAATAGGAACATTCCAAGTGTACTTTTATTCAGTCCAACAGCCAGTATGTATTGAGGGACTGTACTGGACACTGAATGGGCATAATGGGGCTAATGGCAGAAAATAAAAGATGTAATTCTCGTATTTTAAAAATTTGTATTCTAAGAAGAGCTATCATTTTTATGGTGAGTACTTTGTTGAGAAATCTCAACATACAATTATTAATGGCATTAAGTGCAAATTCTTGGCAATGATAACTTTATTGATTTATTAATTCACTAATCATTTGATATTTATTTATTAAAGATCCATCATATGTAAAGTACTATATGAACTTTATTATATACATAGATATATATCACTCATCACAAACATATATTCATTTAAAATTTATTTTTTGGGTGGGAACTTAGGACCAACTATTATTGTATTTTCTATGGCCAAATCAAAAAGTGACAACCATAAAATGAACCAGGATAGATTATCATAAAATGTCCCCTAGTGAATCATTCTTCTAAATACCCATCCCTTATGTAATCTTTTCTCACAAAGAGTTTGGGCTTGGCCATGGCACCTACTTTAGCAAGAGACATTCGCAGATAATTCATAGGCAGGGTCTTGGTAAGCATTTATGTGTTGGGGCTTGCCTTCTCAGAAAAGATGTCCTGAGGCTACAATGCCACAAAGAAGCCCAGAATAAAAAATCATGTGGAAAGGAAGGCTACCCAACTACTGCAACTCGTTCCCAGCAGACCCTCTGGCTAAACGCACCCATATGAGTGAGTTCAGAGATCACCAGCAGAAGAACTGCTGAGCTAACCCACAGATTTGTGAGAAAAAATAAATCAAAGTTGTTAAGTTTTGGGTGGTTTGTTTTATAGCAATAGATAACTTAACTATGAGTAGGTTAGTAAAATGGTGTTGATACTTTAAAAATGGGAGTCAAAAGGCCCAGATAGCAGAAGATCTGGTTTCTAGTCTCCGACCACACGTCAAACTGGAATTTTTAACTGTTTACCATAAAATCCAATAAGATTTCATACCAACTTGAAAAGAGAGAAGCCCAAAAGTAAAGTCAAGCTCAGGGGATAGAATTAGGGCCCCGACTTTAACCCCTGGAGAAAGAGCCAGTGGTAGGGCTCAGTACGAAGGCAGGAGAAAACCAGTTTCAGTTCAGTAGTCAGGCAGAGAGAGTATCTCTCCCTTCCTCCACCTTTTTGTTCTATTCGGGGCCTCATATTGGGGCGGGCACTCTGCTTTACTCAGTCTCCCAATCTAAATACTAATCTCTCCCATAAACACTCTTATATGCACACCCAGAAATAATATTTAATCAAATATCTGGACAGCCTGTGGCCCAGTCAAGTTGACACACAAAATTAACCATCACAAGAAATTATGAGGTCTCCTTATAACTTCATCCCTAATAGGAATTATCAATATGCCTATAAACTTTTGCTTATTTCTATTCCTGAACATGCTCTAAGTGACATATCATTTTATCTTATTCTTTAAGCACAGAAGGATACAGAGTATTGAAAATTTAGCCTGTGTCGTCATTCATGAGGTTATGTTAAGAGCAAGGATTTGGGTACTGGACATTCAAGAGTCACTATGCAAGCTGTGACCTTCATTCCTCTGGCCAATGGAGTGACACCACTGTTAAAAATATCAGAACTGCTTGATTATAAATGACACAGCAAACATTTCCTCAGCTAGCTGAATAGAGTTTTTAAAGTATATTTTGAATTTTTTATTCTACACTGATTATGTTTCATTATTGTATATTTTTTTAAAGGTAGCCACTAAGAGCTTGCCCTAAGCCATTATGTCCCAGAGTATACTTTGTGAAGCAGCAGATGCTTCCATATTAACACGTTATAAAAGAAAAAAGAGTTTCACAGTTAAAGGTTTGGAAATACTAGATTAAATACGTTTCTCTCTTTTTAAAAACTTTTTATTGTAAAATATACAGAAAAGTTGAATAATAATACAAAAGAACACCCACATATTCACCACTGAGAATCAACAGTTGTTACCAAAATGTTAATGTTAAATACACACCCACCCATCCACCCACACATACACACATACATAGCTGTCATCGGGGGTTTTTTATTGTTGTTTTCAAATAACTTGAAAAACAGTTGCAGACATCATATCATTATACTTCACCTCTGAAAACTTGAGCATGCCTCCCCTAAGACATGCTTGCATAATCACAAAAGCATTATCACACTTAAGAAAATTCACAGTAATTCCCTAGTATTACATAATGCCCAGTCCATATTCAAATTTTCCCTTTTGTCCTCAATATAACTTGAATAGATTTTTTTTCTTTTAAACCAAAACCTAATCATAGTCTACACACTGCATTTGATGGTTATGTCTCTTTAGTCTCTTTTAGTCCAAAAAAGTCTCTCTGACCTTCTTAAAAAAGAAATTATGATTTTGAAAAGACCGAACCAGTTGTCTTGTCATAAATCCCACATTCTGATTTTTTCTGAATATTTATTCACGGTATCTTCTAATTTATTCCTCTCTTCTCAACCAGATTTCTTTACAGTACTACCTCTCAGAGCCTTCAATATGATAATGTGCAATAATGTTAATATACGAAATGTGTCAAGCCTCTGCCCTCTTTATAATAACCCTTTCTTTGGGAATTGTCTCCATCTCCAAAACACACGCACACACAGACATACACGTGTGCTTATGTACACATACATGCATACACACACACACACACACTCAGGTCTCAAGCAGTCGCATACAGACTTTGTAATTCCACCTTTTGGGCTAGTCCATTGAAATATCTCCTTGAAGACTAGTGTAGATATAAGTAGTGACAGAAATTTGCACAGATTTAAGGGAGAAGACTAGAAAAATCAGGATAAAATACTCAGTGTTTTTAGGTGAGTTCAAAAGTGATGTTTATCATAGTTGTAGATACTAGTAATGCCTACATCTTGAGAGAATAGGCAAGAGAATTGTGTTGAGTCGGGCCCTTTCTAAAAATGATGCAACCAAGATGACACATACTAAAGCAAAGCCAGGCTGGACAATACCAGGGCAAGTACAGGTCCTGCTTAGATATTGGTCTGATGAAGATTATCTCTTGTTGGTATCATCCAACTAAAGGAAAATTTATTTTTGCACAGTGCATTATTTGTGCAGACCCAGATAAAAGTAGTCTGGACTAAAAACCAAGGAGAAAGTAAAAGGAAGCAAGGAAGGCACTCAGTTTTGGCACATAGCGTATGACAGAGAAAGAGATGAATGGAAGTAGCAAGTTAAACTGTCAGAAATAACTGAGCCTTCCTAGACTAGGGCACAAGGGAACTGAAGCTCTGAAGGCATACTACACCATGCAAAACCCAGAACATTCCAGACCAGAAGAAAGGCAGTGTCTTGAAAATCAAGTGGCAGAGATATTCTTGCTCCCTAAGATCTGAGGAAACCAGATGCAGAAGCATCAATAGCAGAGTCAGAAATGTGCACAGGTGAAACCCCAGGTGGCACGAAGGTGCTAAATACTGTGGAATCACCCCTGCAAGCAAGTTGCATGAACCTAATCAATTCCATAAAAAGAAGGGCTGAAGTCAGCCACTGTGTTCAAGACTTAAAATGCTGCTCACAACAGTTGTGGAGACCTTGACACTATATAAAACTCGCCCTTAATGCAGCACACCTATGCCAGAAACACCAGGCTCAGTGAAGTGTTAGACAAGAGCACACATCCTTCACCCCATCATGTGAAGGGATTTCAATTAGACTAATGCTCTAGGACTCTCTCCCCTGTTGGGGTTCGAGGAGCCAAGCTAAAAAACAAAACTAACAACCACCAAAAACAAAACAAAACAAAACAAACCTTTTCCATATCTGTACTCCAAACCAATGTCTGGGAGAAACTGAGGTTCAGAAATTAAATTCTCTTGCAAGTTAAAGCCCAATGACAATAAAATCCAAGGAATTAAAGTTCAAAAATCAAAATTTCTTACCGTTGTATAAAATAAAAACCTCTTCAATTGCTGACTCAGCATAGTCTCTGTAGGACGATTCCTGAAGCTTGGGTGAGCTGTGTGGATCCTTTAGCAGTGGCAGCTGCAATCTGTCTCTCCCTGAAACAGATCATCCCTTTAGGATCTCTGAGACCCTATTTATTCAATTCCAATTTTATAATGGAATTAAAGAGTTCAAAGTGTTAACAGAAACAGAACATTATCAATATTATCGAAGCACTGGCCCCTCAATTACCTACTAAAATTAGGAAACAAAACACTCTCTGCCCCAAGAGCAATGACCAAGCAAAATTGTGTCGCCAAAGACTCTAGCATAGATTCAGGATTTGCAAGACAAGATCTTGGTCTCAGTGTCCCCAAGGTGGCTGTCAGGTGGTCAATGCAAGTAGTCTACCTCTGGAGGTAAACTCAACTGGGAAAAATCTTTCCATAGAGGTTAATTTGGGCATTGCGTAAAACACATCTGGGACTGCGGAGGAGATCCACCTATGTGTTTACCTGAGACAGAGGCAACTGAATTATTCCTGCCTCCTTGAAAGTTTAGAAATTTGTAAAGGTGGAAGCCCCAGTTACTGGGTGTCTTTTTCTTCATACAGATTAAATATCGCTTCATTGCCATTTCCACTCTGAGCCCTCCTACTCAAGTGAGCAAAGCCTCTGTCTCATGCCATGGAGCTCTTCTGAGCATGTTTTTTTAGTCCTGTGCCTCAGTGACTGTTTTCAGTGACTTTGATTAAGCAATCTGCTTCTAGGTACATTTTCTCCAGCACTATCTTGACTTCACAGGATGGAGTAAAGTGACTTTTAGCAGGTTACATACCACTCAAATCCAAAGCTAGTCCCTCCATGCTTTCCTTTCTGAACTAGAATGCAAAATGGAATTTGAAGCAGCCCAGGCAGTGCTGTCTATTCAGACCTGTCATGGACAATTTCCAGTGAATACTCATTAGTGCTCTGTAGCACATGCAGAGCTCAGCCACCTTCCAGTTTAAATGTAGTTGAGGACAGATCCAAGTCACAATGTGGCAGGGCACAGGAGGAAGAGGGAGAGAGGCCCTCTTTTTTAAAAGAACATAAAATAATAAATTAAGAATTAGGTGTGAAAGTGAGTATTTATTTAGAGTGGGCAAGTAACCACAAAATATAAACATTAAAAACTGACATAAGGCCAAACATTCATTAATTAATTGCCAGACACACCTCTACAATACGTTTTACCTACAACTTTTGTCTACCTACTGTTTAGTCGTCCCTTCATGTGATAACAATTTTATGATTACATTTTATATAAAAAGAACAGAAATAAAAATCACTGTTTCTTATGGTATAGTTAATCACTTTTTAATTGATAGGCAGCATAAAACACTTTATATTCCTAATACAGGTTTGTGAGCTTATAGACACAGGAATTTTGATAAAGACTCTTTTATATGATCCCCATCAAGAAGGACGTAGGGTAGATTTATAGTTTATATGCTGCATTACTGAGCATATCTCATGTGTACTAAGTGTCAATGAGAACATAATCCTGTGCTTACAATTTTACCAAAAGTCTGACAACAGAATTTCCCACAGACTAGTTTCTGGCTCCATCTGTTCAAATCTTGTTTCTCCTCTAGATTCCCATACTTCCTGTGTCAAACACCACAGCACATACTCACATTTTGATAGAATCCTGGACCTCACCTGCAGAAGCCATTTCTACAATGGGACAGCCAGGAAAAACTTAACTATACATAGAATTAGTGGAAAACCATATAATATACATCCCACTAAACCTAAACTAAATATATTTCCAACTCAATTGTACCATAGCCAAATCTCCAAAATGCCTGTGTGACAGAAGAAAAAGAGACAATGGCCTTAATCCATTGAAGTTGATTCATTTTACTTTTGCCTATTTTACAAAAACATATGATCATTATTCCTTTCCTTCTTCTCTTTCTTTCCTGAAAAATTCAGTCCTAAAGCCAGTAGGTAACAGGTAACAGAGCAAGGCAGATACTCACGCTAGCTGGGCTTGGGGGGATGGGGGGTTGGGACACGCAGGGGCTCACAGTGAGTGGTGTATGGAAGTATCATGTGAAGCCTTCCTTATCCTCGCCCTCTATGAGGATGAGACACACAGACCTCGCTCTAGCACCAGCAATACAATGAAAAAACATGTGTGCAGTGCTTCTACCCAAAGAAGCCTGTTAGAGACTCAGCACCCAAGGTTTTACTGAGGGCTGGTCATGCAGGAGCCTTGGCCTAGCATGTACCAAAGTTCTAGACTCCCAGAAGAAAAGCAGGTTGTGATCATATAAACCATATTATTTGTCCAAACAGTTTAGTCACTCTTATTATATAATTTAGGGAGTCTTTTATCAGTGTGGGGAAGTTTACCAGCCAAGTTCCCACATGCCAGCCAAGGGCCAACCTTGCAAGCCGAGCTTTTTAAGGATAACAGTCTCAGGTCAGCTATGTTAATTTAACTCTTTTCTGCACAGGAAGAGTGAGGAAAAGGGAGATGTAAATATGACGTCCAGGTTTCTACATTAAGCATGTAGATGGACACTGTTGTCACTTATGCAGATAGAGGGGCCAAAGAAAGTATAGGTTTAGGAGAAAATTATTCCAATTCTGAACTCATAAAATTGGAGATAGCTATGTATGAGCTATTAGGTTAAATACGCTGTGTTGCAATCATAAACAACCTTAACATTCCAGTGGCCTAACACAAATTTCTCTCTCACTTATTACATGTCTTTTATGGCTTGGTGGAAGTTGGTGAGTTGGGGGTGGGAGTAGGTGGTCTCTGTTTCATGTAGACACTCAGGGGCCAAGGTTAGTGGAGGCTCCATCATCTAGAAGGTCAATTGGTGTGACAGAAAAGATGATTGAAGAGGTCATGTCAGCTCTTCTATGCTTCAGTCTAAGAATGATAAACTGCATTTTCACCCATAGCCCAATGGCCAAAACTAGTAACATGGCCTCCACCAACTATAAGTGGGGCTGGGAAATGTGGGATAGTAGATGGGATGTTTGATGAACACCACTGTTTCTGCCATAATACCCAGGTGGGAATATCAGGCAGGTAGCCACAACAAATGAATGCTGTGGACTTTCATTTAGGAGTTATGAGCAAAAAGGTGGTATTTAAAGCCACCCTCACTTTCTCATGATCTGAATCCCAATGGCCTAAAAAGGGCAATCTTGTCACCCTTTCTTCTTTGAAGAAATAGGAAATCCAGTTTGGTGGCTGCTCCTTAAACCTCTCTAGTGAAAATTATAACACACAGCTGTTTTCACTACTCACAAGATCAACTTTGTCTTAGGATTGAAGGCAGTTTTTGAACCTCTCTGAGAGGAAGGACTTGGTCCCGGAAAAGTCTTCCTAGAAACAGTCTGATGCTCAGAGCAGAGGAGTGGGGCTCATAAAGGTGAGAAGGGACATTTGAAACTATAGACAAAGATACCAAAGGGCAAGGTCACAGAGGAAGAAAAGCTAGAGTTGGAGGGGGTAGGTGACAAAACTCATTCCAAGGCTACCACTAGGTGTCACTAGTAAGAAAGGGAAAGATGAAAGGAGGCTTCAGGTACAACTTTGTGGGAGCTGTGCCCATTCTGGAACAGTTCTGGTGCAATACAAAAAAAAAAAGACAATAGGAATCATGAATTTTTTTCTGAACTGTAATGACTTTCAAATGGACTTTATGGGTTCCTGCTTTTAACTCTGGCGCGTGCCTGTGCCTGTGTGCTTTTGTGTACGTGTGTCTCAGAAGTAGAGAAAGTTAGTTTATTCTGCCTACCACTAGAGCTTTCCAAACACTTTACACTTTTACATGACTAACCACATCAATACTTTGGGTGGAGATAAAAGAACATTTCCATTCCTTTCTCATTCTTCCTGTATATATATGCATGCATACCTACTGAGGCCTTCAGTCTATTCAAAATCAAAATTAAGGCCAGTGGCTCTAAGATGTGTCTTATTTTAATGCCTGGCTTATGCAAAAGCAAAAAATAAAAAGTTTTCATTAGAAATGACAAACCCATTTAGTCCTTCAATGACGCAAACTGAGGACTGCTAAAATTCTCCATGTGCCAATAATTTAGAATTGCTGGCAGATGATATAATAAATCCAAATATATTTTATTATCACTTTGGTAAAGTGATTCTTCATAACTAGATGGTTCGTTTGTGCTTAGGTAAGTGAAACAAATGGTCACAAGGGAATTATCTCATAAAATATGACTATCACCCTAAAACTACTCTAAACAGAAGAGAAATCAGAAGAAACTGGCATTGGAGGCAAATCCACTATTCTGGGCTTCTCAATCTTTTATATGTTTTGGCTCACAGAAAAAAATGGCATTTATATAACATAATGGGGTAAATGGACAAGGCTCCTGGTTTTAGCTGCCCTAGGCCCAATGGGCCACTCAAGGACATGAGATCAGTATGTCAAGATATTAAATATAGATTGTGGTTTCTAACCTTGAGGTCACACAGGAAGTTATAAATATAAATATATATATCAAGACTTTTTAATACCCCCATGTGACTCTAACTCTGGCATAGCCAGAGTTAAGAACCACTGCATTAGAAGAGCCAAGAAAGCTAA